CAAGCAAACGAAACCGGGTCCACGTCCAGCATAACATCGCATCCATGCGTCAGTTGTGGATCCACTAGAGCGTAGTAGAGCTGGCACCCAACATCAGGGGGCAAACGGCCTCTCCCAACGTAAAGTTCGGCCCCCAGCAGAGTTTTCCAGAAAGCCCGAGATGCCGCCTCTTGTTTGCGCTCGTAATGCGCGCGGAAAATGTCGCGGCATGTCGAATCGAACCAGATGCCCACATATTTGTGCTGCGAAATCCATGGAATGAACCTGCCAGCTAAGGACAAGCACACGGTCGGACGCTGTGACGAGCGTTGCGATATTGGACCGAACACCATTGCCCCCGACTTTGCGGCGTTGACTTGCAGGAAGTTCTGTGAGCACCAACAGCCCAAACAATTCAGCTGACGCTGCAGGCCCTCCCAGGAGCGCGAAATCAGTGCCATATCATCGGCATGCTCAAGATGCGACAAGGCATAGCCCATGAGCGAGATGTCGTCTGGATCTTCTGCAAGTGCAAAGGTAGACAGAAAGATATTCCTGTCAGGGGAACCTCCCTTTTGGCCCGGAGACGCGCCCGATTCCGGTCCGATTCCGGTTCCGACTCCGGTCCGGCCCTCCATCTCGCCCGCACAATCACTGATCCGTCAACGCCCTCCCGACGGTCACCCTGGGACCTCGCCTGCGATGCCGCCCAAGCCTTCTGTGCCCGACAGCGGCAGCTACGGACAAGCAGTATATAGTCAGCTACCTAGCAGGCGGACCCTTAGAGTTTCTTCTCTTCGGATCCTCCCCTGCTAGGTCAGCTTCATTTGTATTCGCTTACCAATGTTCACGCTTCGGATCCCCCCCTGCTAGGACCTTGATCTCAGGCCTCCGGGGTTGCCCTTACAGCAGAAGAAACTCTCTACGGGATCAGCCGGACAAGATTGCCAGGTTCGGCGCTGACTCAGGCTCGGAGTACGAGTCCGTCCCGCCCTCGTCACCGCCCCTGCCACTTGTCCCCTCCTCCTCTACTCCTGTGGTCCCCGCACCTGTCATGCCGTCCGGAGTCACTCCTACCGCAGACGCCCGGCTGGACTCACTCGAGGCGAAAATTGATAGCCTAACTGAGGCCCTTGCTTTACTCACCAACCAGGCTTCCGCTGCCGCTGCTGCTGCTAATAATGCTGGCGGACCCCAAACACCATTGCCGGAGACGTCGATTCCGACTCCGACTCCGGTCCAGGGCGACTCCGAAGCCCTTTTTGGCGACATCAACCTCGCCTCAAAATTGGTCTTGCGACCAAATCCCCCGTTCACCTTCAACGGTGACCGGAAACGCGGCCGCGCGTTCCTCTACGCGGTTCGCACCTATGCCCGCCTTGCCCCTGAGGCCTTCGTGGTCAACGGAGAGACGAGATGTTAGCGGAGTTGATCGCCCGCTACACGGACACAGCTGCCCTGCCGGAGACGATAGCGGAGTCGATGGCCGGAGAGGATTTTGTCCCCCGCGACGAGTGACTGGTGTACCCTCGTTCGCGTCTATAAATCGTTTTGCCTCTTTGTATGATGAATGCAGTTCCTTGCCCTACAATGAGCCCGAAACGAAGAACACACCCCCTCCTGCTCCCGCCTTGACTCCGTCTCCGACTCCGCCCGCGACTCCGGTCATCGTCCTTCGCCGCCTCACTGCCTGGGAAAAGAAACTGCCCAAGCAGTACACCGTTGCCGCTGCCCCTGGGGCGAACTCCCTCCACCTCCCGTTGGAGCTAGAGTCCACTACCAGCGCGCTGAAGCTCTCGCTCTCTGGGCTTGTTGACTGCGGTGCCACCTCCGACTTCATTGACACGAACTATGTCGCTCGGAATGGCATTCCGGTCCGCACCCTCGATCAGCCGATTCCGGTCTTCAATGTCGATGGCACCCCCAATGACGCTGGCTCCATCAAACAGATCGCGGACTTGGTCCTGCGCTACAGAGGCCACGCCCGAACGAGTTCAACTGGCCGTCACCCATCTTGGCAAGCAAGACCTCATCCTGGGGTACTCCTGGTTGCGGAAACACAACCCAGAGATCAATTGGGAAACCAAGGAGGTCAAGATGACACGGTGCCCCTGCAATTGCTCGACCTGCCGCGAGGAGGAACGCGTCGAACGGACCGAGTTGCGGCGACTCCGGTCGCTCCAGAAACGTCTCCGCTCTGGCCCGTTCCCCTCGGTTTGCACTATGGACCTCTCTGGCCCTGAGGACGGAGACGATTCCGATTCCGGTCTCGATTCCGACCTGCCTGATCTGACGCCGGACTCGGACTCGGATGACGAAGATGACCAGCTCGAAGATGGTGACCGCATCTTCTACACCTCGTTCCGTCCCTCAGAGGAGATACGCGCAGGTAGCACCGTCTCACAGCGTCTGGCCGAAGCCTTCGCCAAGAACTCCGCCCCACCGCCCTCCGAGATCCCGGACTGGGCTAAGGAGTTCCAGGACGTCTTCAACAAGGAGTCCTTCGATACGCTACCGGAACGAAGAGCCTGGGACCACGCCATTGAACTTGTCCCCGACGCTAAGCCCACCAACTGCAAGGTGTACCCCATCTTGCCCCTCGAGCAACGCGAGCTCGACGCGTTCATCGAGGAAGGGCTTTCGACGGGCCGGATTCGCCCCTCCAAGTCTCCGATGGCGTCTCCGGTCTTCTTCGTCAAGAAGAAGGACGGCGGACTCCGCTTCGTCCAGGACTACCGTGCTCTCAACCCGATGACTGTCAAAAACCGGTACCCCCTTCCGCTGATCAACGACCTCATCAACCGGCTCAAAGGCGCTCGTTACTTCACCAAACTCGACGTCCGTTGGGGCTTCAACAACGTCCGGATCAAGGAAGGTGACGGGTGGAAAGCGGCTTTCCGGACTAACCGAGGCCTGTTCGAGCCCTTGGTGATGTATTTCGGCCTGACAAACTCTCCCGCGACGTTCCAAACGATGATGAATGACATTTTCCAGGACCTCATCCTCTCCAGAGACGTCATGATCTACCTTGACGACATCCTGATTGCCCATTCCGACCTCCGGAAACACCGGCAGATTGTCCAGGAGATCTTACGGCGACTCCGGGAGCACAAGTTGTACCTTCGAGCGGAGAAGTGCGACTTTGAAAAATCGTCAATTGAGTACCTCGGAGTCATCATCTCCCACAACCACGTCGAAATGGACCCCGTCAAGGTCGCAGGCGTCTCCGCTTGGCCGACTCCGGAAAACAAGAAGGACATTCAGCAGTTCCTTGGGTTCGCTAACTTCTACCGCAGGTTCATTCGGGACTTCTCGACCCTTGCGCGCCCTCTTTTCGTGCTCACCAAGAAGGACCAGCAATGGACTTGGGGCGACGCGGAGGCCTCCGCGTTCCAAGCGATCAAGGACGCGGTCACCTCGGAACCGGTCCTGGCGATTCCGGACGACGCACGGCCTTTCCGACTCGAGGCGGACAGCTCTGATTATGCGACGGGGGCGGTTCTTTCACAATCCGCCCCGGACGGGAAGTGGCACCCTGTAGCATTCTATTCCAAAAACTTAAATGATGTCCAGCGCAACTACGAAATTCACGACAAGGAGATGCTCGCGATCATCCGCGCACTCGAGGAGTATAGACACTTCCTCGAGGGCGCCGCGCACCCTGTCGAGATTTGGACTGACCATAAGAATTTGGAGTACTTCAGGAAGACGCAGCACCTCAACCGGAGACAGGCCCGGTGGTCTCTGTGTCAGACTGCGGGTCGGGCCGTGCAAGAACCTCTCCTAAGAACGCGCGCCCGGAACAGAACAGACGGATAGTCGGGCCCGCAAGTGCGGCGGGCGGGGTAGATCGAAACCGAAAGGGCCCGTGAACTCGGTCCCTTGCCGTGGTCGGTGGTCGAAGGTTCGAATCGGGTCGTGTCGGGCCCGATGAGTCGACAACGCCTCCTTGCACGGAGTAAGGTAGTTCTTTAGACGATCTAAGCGATAGAGTACAGGGTACACTATCGCGCCTTATATACGCGGGCCCGCAAAGGGGTGATCGGACACCCTGACCTCTACTCCTCCTCCTCGCTCCCGTTCCTGGCCGCAGAGGGGACGATCGTACATCCCTTGCGGGCCAGGCGCTACTCCTAACCTCCTAGCACTCCTCCCCAGTCCCCTTGTGTTGAGTTGGGCTCGGCGACGGCTCGACGCGTCGTTCTCGGTCACGTGCTTCCCACGTGTGCGTTCCTCCTACTGGGGCGCATGTTCCCCGTCGTCACGTGCTGCGTGTTACGGGCCCGCGATGGCCCGACACCAGCGCCGGAGCGAACGGGCCGGGTCTTATCCGTGACACTCTGTACCTCTCCCGGTTCGACTTCACGCTGCACCACAAGCCTGGCCGCGATATGGGTCGGCCTGACGCCCTCTCCCGGAGACCCGACCACGGAGTCGATTCCGACAACTCCGATGTCGTCCTTCTGCGGCCTGAACTCTTCCACGTCCGCGCACTCGAGCCATAGCTGTAATATATATCAAACATGACCCGGCAGCTGTCAGGCCATTCAATTACAAAGCTTCTGCGAGCAGCCAGGCTCTGGCAGCTGCCAAATAGGTGATATATCACTCCGTCACCAGCGCAATCACACGGACCACGGGTGCCAGTCAGGCGATCACAGTTAATCAAATTGTGTTTGTTGGTCCCAATCTCTTACCCTTTAGGTCACTTCTGATGTTACAAACAATAGTCGAGCATGCCCAACGACTGCCATGATCATTCTTATTCTTCGTCTAAAAAATTGACTACCTTTGATTTGAATCGCGAATTTGACAGAGCAGAAACAATTTAAATCAGTCCCAGTAAAACATGACGAATTCTTTCAAAACAAACAAACTCGACATTCTTACTATTTACACACAACTACAGTTTACGACAGAGCAGAAACAATTTAAATCAGTCCCAGTAAAAAAAACAAGTTTGACGAATTCTTTCACAACTTGACTCGACATTCTCACTATTTACACAACCCACGACTACACTACAGTTTACGTTTTCCCTTCTTGCCTTGTCCATTAGCTTCCTGCTGCTGCCAGTCAGCACGGAGTCGGATAATCTCTGTTGGAGCATCTTTGACAAGATTTTCCAGCACCCAGGTCACCTCCGCAGTTGCCTCCTCCCACAACTTCGACAAGGGCAGCTTAGCTAAACTAAGCTCATGTCCCCACCACCCAAGGGTTGCAACGATGACTGACATTCCGCTCTTGCCTGGCAACGCAAGATCTCCCCAACTTCGACCATCCGATGCCACCCCGCAAAAGTTCTCCGGCGGGTCCCTTGCGCCAGGTGGGCTGGCGTCGAGTCCACCACACTCGCCATTGGGTCGCAAAAGCAGCCACATCCTTAATACGAATGTCATCGTTGGCCGCCGTCCACTTCCGAGCTCGTTTGAACCAAGCCGCAACCTGGCTAGGTCGATCAACATTAGACAGTGATGCTTGTTTGTCTATCCAGCCATAGGCCCTTTCTAGTTGCCCCAGCAGTCGCAACATGTGGTGATATTGCGGGCCCGCTTCCATCCTAATCAACTCGTTGTGTAGATCGTGGAACCATGCCGGCGCATCAGTTGGGGGAAGAGGTTGATTTCCAACGGGAGGATGCGGTTGCGAGCCGACAGGAGGAATTGGAGGGGGCGGTTGCATGCCAATAGGAGGAGGAACAACAACGGGAGGAATTGGGGGCGGTTGCGAGCCGACAGGAGGACTTGGAGGCGGCGGTTGCATGCCAATAGGAGGAGGAACAACAACGGGAGGAATTGGAGGCGGTTGCAAATCCGGCATCATAGATTTCCCCTTTTTCTTCTCCCTCCGAGCTCTATTAGCAGCCAACGATTGCGACGACTTGATGTCTGAACCTTCAGAGGTCTCGATATCACTACCTGACTGCTGTCGTTTCCTTTTCTTGGAAGTAGTGGCTGATTTGACCTGGGCCTCGCCCAGCGATGCCAGCGCTTTTGTTGGCTTTCTTGACAGTTGGCGCCTTCCTCGAGGTTGAAGCTTTGGCTTTTGTCGAGGGTGTTGGCTTCTCTTGAGCCTTCTCCTTTGCCTTCTCCTTCCCCTTCCCCTCCTTTGCCTTCTCCTTCCCCTTCCCCTTCTCCTTTGCCTTGACATCACGCTTTTTACGAAGGCTGGACGTGACTTCGTCATCACCACTGTCAACACTGCCCTTCATCATCGCTGCTGCTACCGTCGCTGTCGCTGTCGGACCCGTCCAAGTCCGACTCGGTAACTTGGAGGAAGTCGACATGCTGGGTTTCGTCATTCATAGAGATCAACCCATCTAATCCGTCTGTCTTCTTCGGCAGAGCGGCATCGGCCTTTTGCTCTTCAGCTGCATTACAATTTTAACACTAACTCAACCACGATGAAGCCAAACTCACTGAAGGCTGTCTCCAGATACTCCATCCAAAAGTCGATCATTTTTTGGAATCGCTCCTTGTCCCAAGCAGGCCACGGCACTGGGGAAGGTGCCTGGTTCGCACCGAAGTAGGTCCTGGTATAATCAGTCATAATTTTATCAGACCGATCACACAACTCACGACTTCGTCCATATACGGCCCCCGAGCGAGGGGCCTGGGTCCACCGATCATGCAAAAGACATGACATCCGGTGAACTCGGCAAGTCGCATAGCAATCCCCCAAAAGAAGTTTTGGAATTCCTCAATACACCTGTCCTTCATTAGAACTAATAGACTCGCACGTATGAAAGGCTCACCGCTCGCGGAACTCGGGCGTCGTGGGCACTCCGTCCTTCTTAAACTTGGCGAATTCTTTTTTCTTCTCTGCGACGTCTGCCTGGGCTCGATCCTTCAATGCTTGTATTGCTTCTTCAACCATTTCGGCAAGAATGGGTTTCACCACTTTCGCTCGAAACGGGCGCGTTGATGGTCACCTTACGGCCAGTTGCCGCCTCTTCTTTGGCTTTCTCTTCTTCATATTTGGGCTGCAACTCTTCTTTGTTTTCGTGCATGTATTGCTGAGCAGCTGAGCGCTTTCGCTGGTTTCGGGCGCAGTCCATCTTGTAAAAGAGCCGGGTATAAGGGCTATCAATGTCGGGATGTGAGTATTTGCCACGGAGATTCCTCGCGTGGTATTTTAGATACCGCGAGATACGCTATACAACAGCATCAACTAGACTGGACAAGCTGATAGAACGACGCGGCAAACCTTGTTGTCAGATTTAATCTTCTCCTGCATTAACTGGGTGTCTTCGGTTGACAATTTCTCAACAGGATGTATTGAAAGGCGGTAAGGGATCCGGAAGGTCAGGCTCTTCGTGGTCCTCCAGCCGCCAGTGGATGCGGGCATGATACTCGTTGCAGACTTGCTGAATGAAGTCGCGATTTTTCCTCCAGTCTAGTGACAGTGCCAGCGCATAGCGCTGAACGTGAGGTTGTAGAATACGCCCGGACGCCCTCCGCCCAAAATTTCTTGTTTTTGCGGTCTTTCTTGTTCATGCGCTTAAACTTATTATTCGTCTTTGTGACGGTCATCTAACAAGCAGGTTAGGATACTCTCGTGAGCAAGTTGTTGGCATACCGCTCGCGCAGACAAGGACTGGAAGAAGCAAGCAAGGTTGTTGTTTTTTGCAAGATGCCGATTTCTGGCACCTGCCACTAGCAAACATCAACAAACATCTGCAAATAATGCAATCGTCGTCAAGATGACCAACTGGCTGCCGCTTGTTGTGAAAAGCGAATCAATCCTTGAGCCCTACGACTACTTCTCGGTATGTATTTGCGCAGTAGCTAGGGACGGTCGCCAGGAAAGCACGTCGTAAAGAATAAGAGCAAACGTTGATCAAGAACCTCACCATGGCTGCCGGTAGAACGGCTGACCGAAACAGACGCGAACTAACAGTCAGAACACACAGTTGCTGGTCAAGTAGTTGCGAAGTAACCAACGACCAACTAGGGACGGTCGCCGGTAAACCTCGCCAAAGCTGCCGGTAGAACGGCTGGCCACCGCTCGGTATCTATTTGCGACCACCGTCTAGCTGAGTCAACCTCGCCAGAGTCAACCTCGCTACGGCTGCCGGTACAACGGCTAGCCACTCATTGTGTAACGAATGCAAGAGGTGGTAACAGAATCGAATCGAAAGATCGAATCTGTGACCATGTTACAGTGTGACCATGTACCTCTGAGCAACCTTAAGTCGCTTTTGGGCCGTGGCAGCACCCACTGTCTGGCAGCTCCCACACCGTCCACCAAGTCAGCTGTTGCAACAGTGAAAATCCTGACAGCACCCACTGTCTGGCAGCTCCCACACCGTCCAAGTCAGCTGTTGCAACAGCGACCGGCTAACCGTCCCTGACGGCACCCATAGCAGCTCCAACCTGACAGCACCCACAGTCTGGCAGCTCCCACAGCCTTGACAAAGTCAGCTGTAGCAACGGCGACAACCGTGAAAGCCCTGACAGCACCCACGGTCTGGCAGCTCCCACAGCCTTGACAAAGTCAGCTGTTGCAACAGTAGCGACAACCGTGGAAGTCCTGGCAGCCAATCAGCTGGAGGTGACAGCAGCCAGTCTCTGGCTCTGGTCATTGCACCAACGAACCAACGACGTTGCTCGTCTCTGTGATCCACAGCTATGACAGCGATCAAACATACGCTGACTCATGCTGCAAAAAAGAAGAAAACCAAGACGGCGCCAATTTCCTGGATTTGGGCAGCAGGCGGGCAGGCCGACGGGGTTGAACTTCATGACTGTGAGTAACTATGGCTTGTTGACCATTTGCTTTCGGTTGAACGTGGTATCATAGCTATGCGTGTCGAGTGGGCAAAAGCACGTGCACGGAAGGAACGCTGGAACGAGGAGGTTGAATTGTTGCGAGAGGAGATAAAGCGGGTCATGCGATCATTGAAGTGGGAGGCTTCAGAATGGCAAAAACGAGCCGACGAAGTTTGTTCAGACGTTGATGGAACGACGGCGGCTGGAATCCGAGCTTATGCGCTGCGTAACGTGTACCTGCATACTGAATTTATAGTGCGCTTTCGAGAGGAGTGGGACAAAACAATGGGAGCTGCTGTCCGTCATTGGGCAGCAGAGGAGGAGCGGGAAATATTAGAGGGAACATTTATGGCAGAGGGAATGTAGAGAACAATGTTAAAATTGTATGATTCGGACCAAATCAGTCGTAATGATGATATCAAAGCTGCAGGATAAAGCGGAGTTCGGAGATCAGCGGCAAGGAAGCACGGAAACGGGTGGGGTTCGAGTGTTGTCAGAGACCTGGCAACACACAGGGATGATGGAATCGGATTTTCTGGCAGTTCCCGGGGATGATTGAAACAGGCTACAGCCACGGGTGCGCACTCGAGGGCGTTTCCGTTTCCGGTCCCGGCTCTGAACTCCTCCGCGACATCCGTGATGCCCTCTCCGGTGAGCCTGACCTGGAGGAGCCCGTCGCACTAGCGGCCCGGCAACTTCTTAAGGTTCAAGGTCAAGCTCGAGGCCCCCGCTCCTCACGATCTGACGAGTGGGCCGTCTCCGGCGGTCTTCTCCATTTCCGAGGAAAGATTGTTGTACCAAAGGACAAGGACCTCCGGAGACGCATCATCGAGCTCTGCCATGACACCCGAGTCGCCGGACACGCAGGTTGTTTCAAGACCTTGGAGTTGGTCTCCCGGAACTACTGGTGGCCTCAGATGTCTCGCCATATCGGCCGGTATGTTGCGACCTGTGACTTGTGCTGTCGCACCAAGGCACTCCGGAGACTGCCCCACGGAGAGCTGCACCCCACGGAAACGCCCCCGGAACGCTGGCATACCGTCTCCAGGAACGTCTGGCGGCACCATGGGACTCCGGAGAAGTACGTCTCCGACCGCGGCTCGCAGTTCATTGCGGACTTCACCCGAGAACTTTGGCGTCTAATCGGCATCAAGCCCGCCACGTCCACCGCGTACCACCCGCAGACAGACGGTCAGACAGAGCGCGTCAACCAGGAGCTGGAGCAGTACTTGCGGATCTTCACCAACTACCAGCAGGACGACTGGGATGAGCTGATTCCGGCCGCGGAGTTCGCCTACAACAACCATGTCCACTCCTCCACGCAGCAGGTCCCCTTCATGACGGACATGGGACGGCTCCCGCGCATGGGCTTCGAACCCGGAGTCCGTTCCGCCATGGAGTCAGTGAACGAGTTCCGTGACCGGATCGCCACTGGTGTTGCTGAAGCCAAGGCCGCGCTCACTAAGGCCAAAGAGGAGTACAAGCGCTACTACGACCGGAGACGGACTCCGTCTCCGGAGTTTAAGGTTGTCGACCGTGTTTGGCTGGATGCCTCTGACATCAGGACGACTCGCCCCTCGGAAAAGTTCTCCCATCGCCGCCTCGGACCGTTCAAGATAGTCACGGAGATCAGCAAAGGTGCCTACAAGCTCGACCTCCCTCCACGCTACTCGAAGCTCCACCCGGTCTTCCCTGTCGTCAAGCTCGAGCTCGCCCAGGACGACCCCTTCGACGGACGCCCCGGCTACGACCAGCCCCCTCCGGACCTCGAGGACGGAGTCCCGGAGTGGGAAGTAGAGGAAATCCTGGACGCAAGGGTGAGGTATAAACGGCTGAACTACTTCGTCAGATGGAAAGGCTACGACGCATCGCACGACCAATGGGTCCGCTTCGACCGCGTCTTCGCCCCGGAGAAAATTGCGGAGTTCTATTGTAAGTACCCTGGCAAGCCACGACACATTGCCTCCGCGACCTTCGACTTGATTCCGTTCCGGTCTATGCGTCGGGACGCCACATTCAAAGGGGGGGGTGATGTCAGGGGAACCTCCCTTTCGGCCCGGAGACGCGCCCGATTCCGGTCCGACTCCGGTTCCGACTCCGGTCCGGCCCTCCATCTCGCCCGCACAATCACCAATCCGTCAACGCCCTCCCGACGGTCGCCCTGGGACCTCGCCTGCGACGCCGCCCAAGCCTTCTGTGCCCGACAGTGGCAGCTACGGACAAGCAGTATATAGTCAGCTACCTAGCAGGCGGACCCTTAGAGTTTCTTCTCTTCGGATCCTCCCCTGCTAGGTTAGCTTCATTTGTATTCACTTACCAATGTTCACGCTTTGGATCCTCCCCTGCTAGGACCTTGATCTCAGGCCTCCGGGGTTGCCCTTACATCAAAGCTCTTCTTCAAATAACAGCTGGCCCACCACACATATCTCAGCTTCTAGATCCTGTAACGTGTTTGCGAATGCGGTAATGCCTTCCAGCTGAAAACCTCTCAAACTCTCGCGACGTCGATCTTCTTTAAATTTCTTTCCTCAAACTTCACCGACTCAGAGACAAGGGGGTATTAGAAAAAAAATAACGGAACATACCTTGGACCTTTTGTTTAAGCTCTTCCAGGGGACCCACCGACCGTGACTGTGACTGTGACGTGACATTACCATATTAGAAAGGTAATTCACACAGTCATGTGATCTGATAGCATCAAACTCAGTCCCTCTGAATTTCCAAGAACATGAAAAGACACATAGACTCCTAGATATATATATATCTTCTAGACAAAGTCCTGCTATGGTCATTGTCTCACAAATCTCCCTCCAGAGTACAGATATCCATCCCCATATGGTCTGATTTGTCACAATATTCCATCTAATCATGAGATACTGAAAAATAACCACTTGTGAGATTGTTGATACTTAATTATGGATGTGTAGTGCACCAAACAGTACTTGTAACCCATTCTAAGGCAATTTTGACTTACAATTTCAGCCAAAAAGTCCCTACCAAATTTTTTTTTAAGGGTCCGGAGGGGGGACCGACCGACCATCCTGGTTTCACTTTTTGACACGTGACACCCCCTTGCTCAGAGATCGAGTAGACAAGACAAGACAA